CCGTGGCAAAGGTCGCCAGCGACAACAAAGAGAACTTCATGGTGGGCGTGTATTGGGCGAATAAATCTGACGCCAGTTGTAGTAGATATAGCGAGTGAACGGAGGATGCCTCCAAAAAACAGGGTTCGAATGCGAGCGAAAGAAGAGGCTGGAAGGACGATTAGAAAAGAGCGAATGTCAACGTTCGATTGAACAGATGAGAATGGAAATCTATGTCGAAGGAGAAGAAGTACCCCGGGTGGCTTTGCCTCCCATGTCCATTAATAGTTTCTAGTGTGATTCCTACTGTCCTGATTTGCTACTTTGCCCCTGACAACATGAGGGGACGCGTATAACTGACCCAGCCAGCATCCACCGAGCTAATGGCCAAAGAAATCACCGGTCCCTCACAAACACCAGACTTGGGCGGATTCCCGGATGTCAACTTTTCCTAGTTAGAGATGATGGACCGCGTCAACCGGCATTACTAGGGCTAATTTAGATAGGAATCGGTTCACTAGTCCCGAACAATCGATACCTTCCAGCCAATAGTACCCCACTCAACTCAAAATTGGCCCAATTTCTGCAGCCTAGCGCTCGTTAGCGTGTTCTAAGTGTCGAGTCGGCGTCTTTCGTCGTATCCATGAGGCGGTACGAAAAGTTCATCAGATAGGCAGCTCACGGCAACAAAAACAATAATCAGCAACTGAGATACTTCTTCCGCTCATGGTAACGATGAGTGAGATGTTCCTGATCGGTTGGATAAGTCTTTTTGAGAAGCTGGCGAGTGTAGTGAAAATATTCGTCGGCTGACGCGGTGGAGTGGGGCCCTACCTTGGGATGGCGTCGGCAGTACGTGTCCCTCACCACCCACAAAACCCGCCGCGTTATTTTCCATATTTGAACGTGGCCACAATTTATGTCCTGGAAATTTTATCTTCGACATAATTTACGGTGCAAGGACGGCCTAGCTTCACTTCGAGCCTGTATTGTGTGGTGAAAAGAGGTTAGCGCCGAGATATCCGTACAGCTAGTATACTCGGAGATGTTTGCTCTGCAAGGTTAAGCTTTGCTACACTACCCACAAAAATAACGCCGATGTGCAATTAATTTATCCCCGATGGGTCAGTCTTCTGACAGACTGCTCCGTGCGAAAGGACTTTATCGTACGTCTTGATCTCTGATTGGCAGTTGCTGAATCGATGGATCAAATGCCGGTCACTTTCCGGCGGTGCCACCATCGGGGGGCCTATCTATTTCTAGAATCCTTCCTTAGATCAGATATTGGCACCGATCGCAATGCCAAGAAAGACGATCTGGGGAAATCTTGCATATCAATCCATCAAACATTTGGTGGCGGGGAATCTTTATCTAGCCTTAACGATACACAAGGCTATCTTCCCCACAAACTTTTCGGCTGCCTCGCGTGGGCTGCCTTCTCGCATCGGCTGTCTCGCATGGTCTCGCCTCCTCACTCGGTCATTCAATCGCTACAATCTCAACAAGTTGAGTCCGGCCTCGGGCATTCAAGATGCCGTGCCTTCGTCCTAGATGGGAAGTAGCTCTCTCCTTTCAGCCACCACTTTCGTGTTTCTTTTTCTTCCCATAAACCCCAACACTACTAAGGAGAAGGTTTTGCTTGAATAAAAGTCAAGGTATATTCAATATCCCGAAGAGCTCTCGATAATCACAAATATTCATACATCCCGGGTGCATCGGGAAAAAAAAATAAAAAAAATAAAACCATAAAGTATCCCATAAACATCGTATCCTTGGAACCCTTAAAACTCCCAAATTATCGCTTATTATATTCGTCACATGCGATCCTGTCTTCGGTGGGAGTCGATAGCGGCTTCAAATGACCGAATTGTGTCCAAAGGTCGCTCGAGACGGTTTCGTGTCGGGTTGGAGTGGTCGGGATCGGCTGGGATAAGTTAGCAATTGGGTTCAACGATTATTTTGATATTATCGGAGGTCAACGTACTGATTATGTTGCCACTTCGGTCCTTATGTTGCATACTGCGAAGGGAAAATTGATCACGGGCGCCAGGTTCGGTGTTCACGGACACTGCTGGGGTATTAGCTTCAAGTTTGACTTCTCTAGTTGAGCCAGCAAAATTGGAATCGTGAGCTTACTGGGCTGGGCCTCGTAAAGTGCCATATTGGGGTCGGCCTTAGTCTGGAACGATGTCTTGGGTCGGTCCTCAGACTGAATGGAGCCACTGCGCTCACTTGATGCTCTTGCTGAAGCCATTTTGAAGGTGTGGTATGGTAGCTTAGATGATGGAAGGTGGATGTCTTGTAAATAAAGTACTAGATGTGTGTAATGTGTCTTGTACAAAAAGTAAAAATTATGACATGAATTTTGGGCGTGATCTGCTGGGGATTGCCCTTGGTATATATAGCCGAGGTATGTAAGAGAGAAAAAGAGAAAACCATGGAAACCCTGGGAGCTGTCATGCCGCGACTCCCCCGACTAAGAATAGAAGTTGACTGATTGGCGAATCACACATGAATCACATATGGATCACGCAAACCGTGGCAAGACTGACGGATCACAGCGGAAGTCCACCAAGCCGATCACGATCAGCGGGGGTTGGCCATTCACACAAGGGCCAATCCCTTATGACGTTACGTAGCGCACACGCCGTGTTCCCACTGGCCGGCCAAGCAGCAGCTAAAATCATAGGAGAATGCTTAGCATAGATCGATCCTATCAGAGAAAAAGCGACACGCAAGCAGAGGTGGCTGGAGGTCTCTGCGACTCTCCACTCAAGACCAGGTACCCGCGTTTGGCCGATGATCATATGGATCAGATGGATCCTTGAGGGGCGAGGGGCGAGGGGCAATCAGCGTTCCCCAAAAATGGTGCCTGCAGGGGCACCGACCTTCACATGCAGGTACAAGGTGCCCTTGGAGTCCAACATACCCCTTGCGGTCATACAATCGATTTCAGAAATGCAAGAAAACCCCGGAAACATTCCTCCCCCGTATTTTTCCATGGTTCCTCTGGGGTATTCGCTCAACTTCACTCTAGGGCGACCAATAAAGTTCGAATACTGAATAATTCAATGGCTCACATGGATTCTCTGACAGCGAGTGACGTTCTATCTCGCCGGAATGTGAGAGTACCCGAGTGTTGACCGGAATTAGTGATGTGCATGGCTGCGGTCGGATCGCGCACAGGCCGTGTTTGAGATAAGTGGGCCCCTTGATGAATTAACTTGAAAGTTGGCTAGGGCGAGCAGGCAGCGGCATTATATCAGAGTGGCCGCGAACGGCCAAATCTCAGGCCACGACAACAGACTCGTAATTCTGGAACAAAGCATCTCAGCTCGGGGGTAAATACTCCGTACAAGCACGCCAAATGGCACAGAAGTACGTAGTTATACATACAATTCGTTTGTCAAGTGGCAAAAATCATGGTCGACATTATGTATTGTCGCTGCAAGCATCCAAGTTCCCAACTTCTTGAGCTTTGAAATATTCCTATGCGTCGCAACTATCAATGGGAAATCTAGATTTGTATTCATAGTTCATCGCCTATCATATCTATCGCCATTCCCACGTGAACCAGTACCCTGTAACGGTAAATCCTCTCGTAAATGCACTTTTAATCTTCCCAGGGTTCGACAGGGTAAGCGGCAGCTTGCATGAGCACTGCCCCGATCAGTTCATCATGATCATGATCAAAGAAATGGCCTATTCGCATCCAACCCAGCAGGAAGGTCCCTCTCCACTCCATGTAGCGACTGTTGGTCAAAATGATTTGCTTCGCCTGGCAGAACTCTTCTGCTCTGTCACGCGGGCGCAAATAAATAAAATAAAACAAAAGTCAATGATCTCAATTCGACAAGATAGCTAAGAGAACGTGCTATCTCGTGAAAGATCTCGTTCGAGCATATCTGCGAAAGGATTGATTCCACCAGTATCTGGACCCATTCAACGATTTCAGGAACAAGGTCGCTCCATGAGTGATATTCGGCAAAGCATCTTCCACTCTGCAAGAATGATCCCGCCAGATTCAACCAGAGCCGAATTGCGCAAAAGAAATCCGACAAAAAGTATCGGGATGAGACTTGGGCCGCCGGAGATATGAGCGCACTCGCTCCGCCTAGGTGTTTTACTCACAACATCTGCCTTGTATCGTTGAAAATCTCCACGTATCGAGATCTATTGCCATTCAGGGTTTGCTTTTGAGCAGCCAACGTAGGTATTGAAAGTGCATGCGCAAGCTCACATACCGCGCGACCGTACACAGTACTCCATACGAAGTAGATCTTGCGCCTTACAAGAATATCTCATCGCATCTCATTCTAGGCAATGCACGACAGCAATCAAGCCAGGGGCCATATGTACTCGGCTGGGGCCACATCCATGTAAAAGGATGCACCAAGTGGAGGCACATGTCTCGTGGCTTATTGCTGAGCGACAATCGTTGTGGACTCGCATGACGCTTTTCATGGCGATCGTAACTTTGGCGTTCTTGGCGTGATATCAGTCTGGGTGGGTTCTTGAAGCCGGAAATTTGATGCATATTCAATGTCCGGGAGACTTAAGGCGCGTCTCTAGCAAGGTTGAAGATCGTGGTGAGTTTTCTCATAAGTTCAATTGACCAAATTTAAAGTTGTCGGACTTTGAGGAGTTTCTTCCCTTGACTTATCGCTTTGCAGAAGTCGAACAGCATCCCCTATCGGCCAGCATCTGAGGCCGGAGATCGACATTAGCCCACGTGGGATGATCAAGTCGACAAAGAAGCAAAAGACGAGGGCCAAGACATAAGGCAGGGGATTTTCATTTTGCAGCCCCGGTCGCACATCCTGGCAAGTGACAGAAAATGCGAAAATCGCCAACTGTCATCATTGGACGGGGATGATATTCGGGGCTGGAAGACATCCACTCCGGAAAGATCTGCGCTAGCCTTGTCAAACAGGAGGTAGAATGCATTAAAGACTTCCCTCCCCGTCTTCAAACAGTACATGTACTATTGAGACTGAACAAGGATCACATATCACGCGAAATCATAGAAATCTATACAAAAATTCCAAATTTTGCGGGTTGAGATAGTCCGGATTCGTCAAAGGGCCAGCCAGCCCCATGACATCATCTCCCTCCGTGTTATTAAACAACTCATACCAATCCATGTTGATTGCAGCTTCTTCTGAGAAATTGGGGAGCGGAGCTTCCTGCGTGCTGATCATCATCTCGTTATTATGCGAAGTTGCGGAGAGAGGTTGGACCGTGTTTCCATAAGTCATTTCAAACGATGGAGAATCAGGAACCGGAGACCCTTTTGCAAGCTGATCAGACAGCGTCGAGGGAACTCCACCCTCGGCCAGTCGCAGATTTTTTGCAGTGCGGTCATCTAGACAGCGGAAAAATAGATCCAAGACCCAATTCTCCAGGTCCCAGGATTTTTGAAGCTCTTTAAGGCCGAGGAGACAGAGTTTGGCCCTGTGTTCGGCTAGCTTGCGAGCTGTGCCTGTGACTCGTCCGAAATGAATTGTATGGATACATAGAGCAGAGAAGGTATGGGTGATACTATTTAGACGAGACGTTAGCTGGATGTCGTAATCATTACGAGGAAGGGGGAAATCTCACAGGTGGACCAAGCCGTGCTGCACTAAATTTTCAGACAGCATATCTTCGAGAATTCGAGTACTCCTTGTCGCTGCATCCAAGGCAAGATTCCCTTCCGGGCTCATCAATGCGCTTGGAGGTTGCAAAAATATCGGTCGATACAGAAGGACGTACAGATTACTGCCCATTTGTTAGTAAAATACGTCTTTTTCGTAGGCCTGAGTGGATTCGTTACTTGTAAGCCATATGCAGCATCCCGACGAGATAGGTGACCTGTCGACTAGGAGAAGATTGGAAATGCATCTCTTGCGGTAGATTTGACTCCCAGTCGACCAATTTTTGGTGAAGGGCTGGGCGCCGTGGGTTGTCTAGCTTTGATCGGCCTGGTAGATATTGACTGATGATAACCTCTCGTACTTCGCGATGTGTAAGTACAATGTTCTCATGATTGTCGCTCTAGGCATCCAAGGTTGTACTAACATATTTTTGCAAGCTGGGCCATTCCTATCACATAATTGACATGTGCAGTCGGCGGTTTTCGAAAGACTTCAGAGAACTCGGTAGCATCGAGCTCCTCAAAATCGGATGGCTCCAGCTCTGCGGCTTCACAATCTTCATCACGAATCCGAGATGGCAAACCCAAGGCAGCAGACGTTTGTTGATCGCGTACCTGTTGCGAGGCTGTCAATGCGAAAGATCCATCGCCGCACATCTTGATAGTTGACTTACGTATAGAGCCCACCATATCCTCTTCCATATTTTCTGGTCACGGGAGCTCAAAAATGATAGTTTCGACCTGCTTCATCAGATTTTGCACTTAGAACGGTATCTTCAAGGGTGAAAACTCACATCACATGCATTCCCTTCTTTTGCGCCAAGTCAGTGGCAGCTCCGAGCCAAAAGCGCACATCTCGCTCCTCGGTCGGACCGCCACGCCAGAAGCTCAGAAGAAATAGCGACTGTAATTTAACGATCGTGTCTGTTTCCCATCCGACATCGTATATTTCTTTTGCGCGTTGATAAAAAACCCCCTTGGCTTGATATCGATCGGTGAATCCAATTGTTTTCAGTGTGAGGTCTGAGCACAGGCTGACCCCGACGAATAGCATGCCTTGGAGTAACAACGGCGATATCGTATCCTCTTGATACGCATTTTGTACCTGTGGGCGGTCCAGAATGGGGAAGCAAGGGTGAAACCACTCAAAGTATGCTTGGAGAAGCACTTCACAAGCGGTAGGGGCTGGAAAGACCAGGGCACTCTCGCGGATAAGTCGTTCCTGCAGGGATTTCCGCTGCAATCCAAGTGAAGTATCTTCGGATTCCTCGGGACTGCAGACCTCTGGAATAGAATAATGGAGCCGACCCTTCTGGATCCCGCACGCATACCCTTTGTCGGGCGATCGTCGTCCCTCATCAACCACGCATGTCAGCGGGCTCGATTCGCCGAGGAAGACCGTTTTTTGAATAGCATTTTCTGCAGTAGATGGTCGCACTGAGGGTTTGTAAAGACTTGATCGGTTTTGAAGAGGTTCTGATTGCAGCGATTGCCCTTCTGGCGGCGCGCTCTCCTCGACGCGGGAAGTTTCCGCAGTAGCCGAAGCCAAAGAATTGTTTTTCTTTCGGCGAGGATACCTAAGGAAGAATCGATATATTGATATGCAATCCAGGAAGTGGGCGTAAATGAACTTTGCTTACTTTCCACGCCGCGATACCCCCAATTCACAGGTAAGATTCCATGCCGTGCAGTTGCGGCATGGTTGCATATCAAGCACATTGCATCGCACGCGCCGAGAATTGCAGGCTAAGCAGGCTTTTTTTGCACGCATTCGTGGTTTATCGGGTGTTATGCTCGCCATTATGGTGATTGAGATAGGCTGCTTCCCAAAGTTGTGGGGTAAATTATTAACATAGCGCGGGCAGGAGGCTTATTGACTCGGCTTCGCTCGGCTATTTCAAGTGCGATAGGTTGGTTTGAGTCGGCTATATGGGTCTTCGGTTATATGCATTTGCTCCGTATTCCCGAGTTTGCCACTTTTCAACAAGTTTAAGTGGCATATTTCGAACTTAGGCCTGCATTGAATTGTAAGAGTCAATTTGCTGCCGCTTTAATGATTTCTCTACTTCTTTCCAACTTGAAGGTTGCCTTAGATTACCCTCAACTCTTGGAACTTGGGTTTGTATCTACCACTAGCCGGAGGGACTTCAAGTTTGCGACTCGGATATATATTGAACACCAACCTTGCAATATAGGTCTAGACTTGAACCTTCCGAGGTTCCAAGGTTGTAACTTGAGTTCAACAACTTCCTTGGAAGTTAAACAAAGTTATCGATACCAACCTTCAAGTTGGAATTAAATTCCCTAGTTCGATTGAAAACATTCAAGACAAGTCATAAAAGCTACTACTAACAAGCACATTTCATGCAAATTATGTTTGTGAATTCCGGTTTTCTCAACAAGGTATTTATCTTAGTCAATGCTTCTACTTAGTCAATGCTTCTACTTAGTCAATGCTTCTACTTAGTCAATGCTTCTACTTAGTCAATGCTTCTACTTAGTCAATGCTTCTACTTAGTCAATGCTTCTACAATAGTTAATGACTATGGGAATACGAGACGCCCGTAGCGCCGATCACAGCCAAAGCACGGAGCCAACCTTATTCGAAGTCTAGGCTCACAGAAGGTTCGCGGCCCTCATCGGTGCCAAAGTGAAATCGACCCATGCATAACTTGAATCAAACTCGGAGCCAATATTTCAGTTAAGCCCTCGGTGAAGCACCTGGAATGTAGGGATGGTTGTTAGGGAGACACCTGGGCAGACAGCCCCGTGTCAGGAATGCTAGATTGATGTATGCTAGGCCAACTTGTCGATTAGAAGAACTCCTGGGTGTATTACCCGCGATTCAGTTCCTTCTGTTTCAATACCCTCACCCCAGATTTACAGAGCCCTCCGCCAAACACGCAAATATTTGACCTCATATTCACTTCGCAGGTATTGCATCATGCGCATTCAATCCACTTGGCTGGGCGCTCTGGCGAGTTTACCATGTGTCCTCGCATCATGGCCTATGTCTTACAGTGAGATGGTGACCCCCTACCGTAATGACGAGCCTAAAGTGAAAGTCGAAACACTTTATCAGTTCCCAGAAAATGGTTCTTGGGTTGACAACATCGTCCTGCGATCAAATGGAAATATACTTCTCACTCGGCTAGACGTACCGGAAGTCTGGTCTGTCAACACTACGAGCGGAAACGCGACGCTGGCCCATTCCTTTACCAACGCGACGAGCTGCTTCGGCATCGCCGAAATTGAAGACGACGTTTTCGCGGTAGTGGTAGGAAACTTCTCCACAACTACGTACCAGCCCACTGCAGGGTCATTTACCGTTCAGAAATTGGATTTCAATGTCGCCGCAAACGAGAGCGAGCGAGTATCCCAGACCGCAACAGTATCGCACATCGTCGCACTCCCCGAGGCACAAGCTTTGAACGGAATGGCCGCGTTCACCAAAGATTCCCATCTTGTTTTGATCGCCGACAGTCCAAAGGGAGCCGTTTGGAAAGTCAACCACAAGACCGGCGACTATGAGATCGCCCTGAATGACACAACAATGATGCCGGCAGAGGGACAGGCCTTGCCCCTGGGCATCAATGGATTGAAATTGGTTGATGGATACATTTACTATTCGAGCACCACACGAATGCAGTTCTGTCGCGTCAAGGTGGACGAGAATGCCAATGCTGTCGGAGAATTCGAGGTCATCGCCAGTGGATTCCTGCCAGATAATATGGATGTGGCCCCGGATGGCACAGCCTACATTGCTACCGACCCGCAAAACTCTGTCGTTCGTATCACTCCTTACGGCCAGATCTCGTTGGTTGCCGGAGGTCAGCTTTCTACGCAAATCCCTGGTGCCACATCCTGCCGTTTAACAAATGACCGCAAGACTCTCTACGTGGGAACAAGCGGGGGGCAAGTGGCACCTGTCTTGGGAACGTTCAAGGAACCCGGGAAGGTGGCTAAGATTACCATGGTGTGATTATTTTGGCAGGTTTAGCCTCAAAATTGTCGTTCTCTCTCTCTCTCTGTTGATGGATTTAATAATATCATGTATGTGGATAATACGGGAAAGATGGCGTTGCACGATGGACAAATGATATTGATGTGAATCTATTCAAACACTAAACAACTTTTTTTATTCTGCCTTTTAATTTGAAAATCGGGTTTTCTAATGACTTATATCGATTGTGAAACCATCAAGTTTCATCAGTCCCATTATCCCATCTTCCTTCGGGCGACTGGTCTGCTCCGCATTTACTATCATTCTTACCAGATCCTTATATCATTCATCAATCTTGCCATGCCTTAACGTCGATCGATAGCTTCCAAAAACTTACCCAACCCCCACCGTTTATCCAGAGGGACATCCAAGCTGTCTTGTCACTCGCGCAATGGACAAATCTTCGAGCAGCTGGTATGGCACTTCAATTGAAAAGGGTTATCCCATGCCGGGGTAAAACATGATTTGTTCAATTCTACAACGAAAACCTAAAAGTAGGAGAGTCGGCAAGTATTATCGGACGATGATCCGCCACCCCGTTCCTACGCCCGGCAATCCAGTGGCGCCATCGGCTGCGGTGGGGGACCGCCCCGGCTGTGAACTTCTCCGGACGCCTCGGACATTTCCTAAATGGGTAATTTTGCTCGGAGTTAATCAGATAAAAAGTAAGGCGCTTGCTAGAAATTCCGGGGTATTTATAACGGCAGCTGCTGCCTCTGTAGCCCCGGTAATCTTTATTTTTTTTAATCCCTTCCCAGCATATATCACATACAATGGTAGCCAACGCTCTTCGGAACATCGTCGTCGTCGGGGGCTCGTTTGTCGGTCGCGTGAGTCACATTATGAACCCAACTGGACTAGAACATTATCTGACACCTCACAAAGGGAACGGCCCAGGAGCTCGCGAAAATCATCCCTCCAACTCACAGAGTACGCAGGAAGCCGATTTATCTCCTGCTGCATGACTGAATACAGAGTACTAACCCAAGTATCAGGTCCTCCTAACCGAGCCCCATAGCCACTTCCATCATCTTTTCACATTTGTGAGTGCGAGAGATAAACCCCTGGCTTGATTTCTATTCAATTTGCTAATAATCGCGGTAGCCCCGATTTGCCATTGTCCCCGGACAAGAGCACAAGGCCTTCATTCCTTACAGCGAAATCTTCTCTGGTGCACCCAATCCCGCCGCACATGGCGTTGTCCAGGCCCGCGTCGTGTCTGTGAATTCGCAACACATCGAGCTTGACCGAGAATGGCAAGGAAGCAAGCAGATACCTTTCGACTATGTCGTCTTGGCGACTGGTACTCGGCTCTCCAAGCCCGCGGCAATGGACAGCGATGAAAAGCTGCCTTCAGTCGAGTACCTGCAGAAGCACCAGGCCGATGTCAAGAGATCAAAATCAATCCTGATCGTTGGCGGTGGTGCTGTTGGCGTTCAAATGGCTACCGACTTGAAAGAATACTACCCAGAGAAGAATGTCACCGTGGTCCAATCACGCCTGCGCGTGATGCCGAGCTTTCACCCACAACTCCACGATCTTGTCAAGCAACGATTTGACGAGCTCGGTGTTCGATTGATTACTGGTTCCCGGGTTACCATCCCATCGGGGGGGCTTTCCCAATGATGGAAATGCGTTTGACGTACAATTAACCAACGGGACAACAGAATCAACTGAACTTGTAATCCTGGCGACCGGACAAACACCAAATAATCAAATGGTCAGTGGCCTGACGCCTTCAACACCCGATGGCCCATCTGTGATCAACCCCGACAACGGATACCTTCGAATTCGACCAACGATGCAGCTCTTGGATGAGAAGTACTCGAATATCTTTGCTGTTGGTGACATTGCCGACACAGGCGCACAAAAAGCCGCCAGACCAGGTTCGGCGCAAGCTGCGGTCGTTGCAAAGAACATCCTGTCTTTGATTGAGGGAAAGAATGCGGAAGATACCTTCGTCAAGGGTCCTGGGGCGATTCATCTTACTTTAGGAATGGTGAGTAGTTTAGTACAGTGGATTATCCGCTTCAAGTTCGTTCATCACAGTGCTGATACGTCGCTCTCGCAGAAACATAACGTCATTTTCCGCAACCCCAATACCGCAGAGGGCGCAACAGAGCCTGTCATCATGGACAAACAAGAGTAGGTTGACCCTTTCCAAGTATAAAGCCCTCAAATTCTAACGAGTTTTTCAGTGGCCAAGAAGATATGAATGTTGAAGCCATGTGGGGACGGCTGGGTATCACCGTCGACAATGCTCGCCAGTATCACCTATAAGAAGAAAACCACTAAATAATACAACAAAGGGCATGGATGCATAGTTTTTGGAATGTATCATTTATTGAATTGCATTAGAGTTTCGAAGATACAAAATCACTAGCTTGATCAATAATACAAATACCGCTCTAGAGGAGTCTATCTGTTGTCGACTTAAACCTTCACTCTCGGGGTCAACCGGGCCATAGAGCTCTGCTAATTCTAGAAACAGTCGATAGAGGTAGATCGAGATATCAATCTTCCTCGGAACCTGCTTCGACCACGTGTAACCAGCTTCGGCAATCTCCAGACAGACGCTCTCCTTCAGGATCATTGATAAGGAAATTCATCAAAGCAGGAAGCTCTTAAATTTCCATTGTGATAGTGATATAGTGAGCCCACGGAACAAGACAATCATCATGCCATTCCTGGAACCAGGTTTGGTTCAGAAAAATCGCCTTTCGCGACAAAAGACGATAAAATCGCGTGCTCATGCCATTTCCGTCGAGGTCGAAAAGATAGCGGTAACTGAGACATGTATCTTCGGGTTCGTAATTGGACGGCCCTAGAGCCCTTTGCATATCTTCACAAGCATTGCGGTCTCCATCGAACTCACACTGAGTGTAAGCACCCATTCGAACATCGAACATGTCTTTGAAAGGGTCCGTTTATTGTTTAGCCTCCTGTCCTTGAATCCAAAATGCCGACTTGCGTCTGGGACATTTGCCGCATTTTTGGAGTGCTTAGATAAAAGTGACGAAACTTTGTCTATGGCCAAAACGCCAGTTGAATCGTCTTGCTTGTCCACCATTGGACGAGCCACGCCAGTATAAACCAGGCTTTTTGTCCAGAAATGGAACTTCATCGTCCCCAAGTAATGGATGCGCCACATAGCAAGGGCAGGGGATCAAGATATCTCGAAATGAAGACATGCGCCCGCAACTTAGGATCGGAATTGGCGAATGGATATATGAGAATGAGCTGAGCGACGAAATAAGAGCATGCAGCTTTCCAGGCTCAGGAAACTGACAAACATCCTTCTCGTGACCAAGGCGGCTTGTCAATTCACGAGGAATTTGCGAAGATGAGTTTTTCACCAAGTTCTCGGTTGATCGGCCAGAGCTCACCGTGAATTGAATCCTCACTGACTGCTCCCCAGATTTGCTGAGGATTCGCGGCTCGTCGATAGTACTCATGTAGAACATGGAATTGTAGGAGAGAGGGGCGGAGATAGTCCGAATGCGGTCGGGATTGATTGCTGGAATGCCAGAAAGCTCTCATCCACCTCTTGATCTAGCGAGCTAAAAGGAAGTAGAAGACTCAAGAATAATCTACCAAATTATTATCTTCTATATTTTGCTTTACCGCTGGTCTACCTTCAGAAATGGTGCTGCCATGCCCTGGGGAGATCCACAGGTCATTTATAGTGCGGGTCTAGAGTGCAATTTCGGCGTTGAAAGCTTCTCAGCAGTAAGTGTTAAATGGTTTTTACATTCGATATTGGTCTCATATCGAGTGAACTAAACTATAACATCAAATAAATAATCTTGAAAATCATTTTGACAACGGGCAAAGCCTTTCTCCGGCAGTTTCTACGCCTCGCTGAAGCTAGCTCGGTTGGCTCTTAAAAATAAGCATTTGGCGGACGGCCGACCACAACTCACCCGGCATTTCATACCACGCGGAATTCATGCAGCCACGGGCGATCTTTCATTAACTACATTTTCGGAGCCTTTGACTAGATTGAATTTGTTATGTCCGACAGATGAGAACCAAAGATAAGAAAAAAACATCAGACAATCAGACCCAACTCTGTTCAATGCTTATTTATCTCCGCGGGGGGTGTGTCAACCCGATCAGCTGTGGGTCGGTCGGGGGCTGAGATGGATTTTTTTTGTCTGGATGCGCCTCTTATCACAAAGTGGAACAGCTAGACAGTTAGGTGCATCTGAATGAAACTTACATATGCAGGCGGCTCCCCGTGCGAGATTCATGAAAATATTTTCACCGTTATGGGATCTGAAGAATTTTCTGCATCATGTCGATAAATCATCAGAGCGACGACGCTTGTGTGGCGGACTTTGCTAACAAGAGCGAGGCTGTTATCATTGGAGAGGAGAAAGGTGATGGACCTGAAAATCTACACTCTCGCAAGAAGTGGCAGAGCAATGTCACTATCGTCAGTTGTGTAAGTATCGCAGTACCGAAGACCGAAGACCAGGTCTTTATCGATGTCCTTGCTAACGTTCCAACCAGTATATCGCAAACTTCAGTGACGGGTTTCAGAACAGTTTGGCGAATCCGACCAATGTTATTTTCAAGAAATTACTTGGGTCGGGCGGCTATTCTGCCGACATGAAAACGCGAATTAGCAACTCTTTGATCATTGGAGCGATCTTGGGCGTTGTAGTTCTTGGTTATACTTCCGACATGTTCTCTCGGCGATCTGGACTACTATTCACGTCCTCGCTGGTGGTAATCGGTACATTGATGTCCACCGTTGCTCTCAGCGTGCATCCATCACAGGATATGCTTTGGTATTTCGTCATCGCGCGAGGTATTGCAGGCTTTGGCGTTGGAGGTGAATATCCTCCCAGCGCGGCTGCAGGCATTGAGGAATCAGACACCGTATGTCCTTATCCTGCTTATTTAACACCAATTTTTTATTGATGCTGAGTACCGCAGATCATGAGAAACTACAGAGGGCCACTTTTCGTGTCTTTCACCACGCTGATGGCTACACTTGCTGGTCCGATCTTGCAAATTATTTATCTCATTTGCTTGATCGCCAGCGGCAACAACCTTACGATTACATTCCATGCGATATATTCGATCGCTACTATTATCCCTCTGATAATCATTGTACTCCGCATTTTCATGACAGACTCGGTTTTATTCCATGAGTCCAACCTCACAAAACAACGCCGATCGCCAAAACTATACCTCCTTCTCGCCCGTCGATACTGGTGGCGCATTCTGACAACCTCTCTCGCATTCTTCCTTTACGACTTCATCAACTTTCCAAACAACATCATGTCAAGCAGTATTATTGCATCACTCGTCAAAGATAGTGATATCCGAAAAACCGCAATCTGGCAAGTCATCCTAGCGGTTCTCCCCGTGCCAGGTGTCATGATCGGCGCCTGGCTCACCAATGCAATTGGCCGGCGAAACACTGGAATATTGGGCTTCGCAGGCTATATGGTCCTCGGTTTTATTATTGGAAGCACATATGACAAGCTTTCCGAGAATATTGCCGCCTTTGTCGTTCTATACGGTCTTTTGCAGGCATTTGGACATTTGGGACCAGGCGCAACAATTGGACTCATCTCTACTGAAGCCTTCCCTACAGCCATGCGAGGAATGGGCTACGGAATTGCGACTGCCTTTGGAAGAACTGGCGCCGCCGTCGGCACTGAGTGTTTTACTCCGTTACAGACTGCTGCTGGAAACAGCTCGACATTCTACTTAGCAGGCGGCGTGGCCATTCTTGGTGTTGCTGTTTATTGCCTCCTACCAGAGAGCAGTAAGCTCGATCTGGAAAAGGAAGATAGGTCTTTGGAAGAGTTTCTAGCCGAGAATGGATATTCCATTGGGCAAAAGGACAAAAGCTGAACGGTGGTGTGTTCTCTCTTTTGTTCGAAGATCGAAAGAATTGCAACGCTAGCCGACTCATCATCGAATTTTTGTTTACAAGGTCGACATTTCACGTGGCAATGGATTTGATCATCATGAATTTTGGACGATTAAAAAATATAGATATGGATGGGAGCGCTTTCTGCATGAATAATAAATCTAGATTCTATATTATGTCTAATGTACAAGTTTTTATTACAGTAATGGGCGCCCCGCTCCGTTTAGCGAGCAGGTTGGACCTCATTCCAAGCAGTAGAAATCTTGCCCCAGTATTGCTCTGGATGAAGTCTCATATGGCCCACATGCGGTGAGCCTTCGAACATCTCCAGGTCAACGTTGTAGCCATGGCCCTTCACCTTAGCAACAGCCTCCTCCAGATCCTCCCACCAGATGATCTCGTCTTCCTTAGAGTAGAGGTACAGTCTGTTTGTCTCGACTGAAGCAATTTCATGATCGTTCATTACTCGAGTCGCCCAAACTCCCGAGGGCTCAGTACCACGTAGTAATTCCCATGCATAGTTTGCCCACAAGAACATCCACCACAGGCCTTGCGTAACTGCAAAAGGCCATGGGAAGTATTTCGCTGACCCAACAGCCATGGCCCGTGACCAACGACCGACTTGGGAGGCAAAGTCGAGGCTACCTGGCGTAGAATCGCATACTAACAGCGCATGGGGAAGCTTTTTGTCGCTGCCATGGCGTTGTTGGTAGGCAGTAAATGCGGCGGCGAGGAAGATGCCTCCGGTGTTCGACATGGCGTGTATTAGGAGTCGCTCATCTCCGTTGCCACTTCCATTGGGCGTCGGGAATACCGTATCAATTACGGGTAGCATTGCTTCAACCCGGGCGTCGAGGGGTTGATTCGATGCTTGAAAGGTGCGAGATAGCACAACAATAATCCTGGTACGGGGAAGAGGTCATTGTAGCCATCCGAGTATTTTGAGACATGCTTCGGCATGCCGTCGCCCCACCCAAAGATAATGATAGTCGTTGGTTCATGAGCTAGTGCTGGTTTGGTCTTGTCGTTCCCATTCCGAAGGTATACCCTATCCGATATCGCGGTGAACCCGGGGAAAGGCAGTGGTTGTGGAGCCATTTTTGGCAGGGGGCTAGCGGATTCAATGGAACTCGCTGCTGAACCTTGAAAATATTTAGAGATTTGCGAAAGGGAAATGGTGTCTCCGTGAGAACATGGGGTGAGGGATCTCCTTTACCTAACAATCCAGTATTATATACCAAAATCTGCCCCAGATGGTAGATAATCAGAAAATTCGAATTTGGAAATTGATCCGAGGGGCCAAGCGCAAAGCGAGGGTTCGTTGGGAAAATGCAATCGAACTGGCCAGCATTCCGAAAATAGGTGGGTCGTTGGGAGAGAATTAGCGAATCAAAATTGATATTCCCATCTTGGCTTAACGTGCCTCGGTACAGATCTTATTCTTCATTAATGCTGGTCACCGTGCAAGTCACGTGCATTTGAAGAGAGAAAAGGACAGCCATAGGGTTCGAGTCAATATAATTACTTTTCAAAGAATAGCCCCGGAATTTAACACCAATATTCAATTAATTCCTAACTTTCAGAATCGAAGAGTATTGTGATTGCCTATTGAAGTCGCCGTCGAGTCGCGTATAACCGATGACATAAGCAGCATCAGAACCAAAATAACAATAACAATAACAATAAAACTAAACACTAGCCGCCTTGATTATGTAGAGTGAATTTCAACTTATTAAAGCAATGTGAGTCAACCGAAACTTTGTACTTTAGTCAGAAGGTAGAGTGTCGGTAGGGTTGGAAATATTAGACAAGACTACTCCATAGTAAACAAAGTTCTCATAAATGACGGACATATGGTCTGAGAATTGGCTAAGTTAGCATATCTAGCCCACTCAATTCAATTCAAACGTTTATTAGCCTGTTGCAATCTAAGTTAGAAACGTATGTGTGTGCAGGAGATTCTTCCATCGGAGATACGAGCTTGTTAAATACCACGCTCAGTCTTAATCACAAAACAAATTAGAACAGCGCAGTGCCAAGCAAAGCGCGTAGAAACGTGTCGGACACACGCGAAGGGCGTGTTGGAACAGTGACAATTCTAACAAGGGCCAATAACCACGCCCCGATTGTCCTGCGGCCAAATCCCACCCCCAGCCTCGACTCCCTTGACGGTCGCGACTAGTTAGCCGACTGATCTTACCAGATTCAAATCATAACCTCCATGGTCATATGAAAATTCACTAGAAAATTCAAAATAATTACAGACTTTTTTTTAAACATAACTTTCTAAACATAACTTGATATGCGATCCATTATTCATGGTTTCCATTTTGCGTATTATCTGTGGAATAGTAAATTCTGATGTGTTATACTAGATATTATATCGCCTAATTGGGAAATTCCTTTTTTTTAATGGAGGTCCCAGTTATCGGTTACAAATAATAAAAGCATGCTATCCCCTCTTTCACCTATGGCATTGCTGAAACATCGTCTTTTTGAAATCTAGAAATGGAGATCTGCCTACGAAATCTAATTTTAAATTCGGTCTAGAATTATGTTCTTATTTGAAGGAATACCATATAAATGCGTGACTGGTCATAGAAACATGAGATGCACAAACTCACAAATTCACAAATTCACAAGTTCCCAAAATAAACAGAGGTCAAGCTTATCCTAATTTCAAATCAGAATGAAGTCTGAGTAGGTAGGGTAGATATTAATGCCAGAACCAAAGGCCATTTGACGAAGGGCGATAGGGTTTGTAAATTTACCTTTTCTAAATGAGTTAGGGCCAAGAAATTTTAAATTACAGTTATGAGAAATGATTAGAGGCATAGAATCGCAGCATACGCGACATGTAAATCAGTTTGCATCTACTATATTCGGGCGAAACTCTGATGACTCATCAAACCCCAAGAAATTGCAAGCCGCTTCTGTCTTGGTGATATATTAAGATCACTCATAACTGATCAATAAATTGGCGGAAATGGAAGCCTTGGCCGTGGAAATGAAGAAAAAATTTGCCGGGGGCTCCTAGTAGACATGGAAGCTCTTGACGAAACTCTAAAATCGAGAGACACATTATGTGCGACTAGAAAGGCCAGAGCCAGCAAGATCTGTCGTAGCTTGACGCTTTAGAAGTCAAAGCGCAAATAAAAATGACGAGAAAGACGAAGAAAGTGGTCTGGTTCACGAAGCTCCGGTGGAGACCCTTTCGGCTATACTTCTCCCATCCACTTCCACTGCGTTTTGGAGTCGGTAGAAAGTCGCACAACCCGCCATTCGCAATGGTTTTTGATGCTATATTAGCAGACAGATCCCCAGCATATGGTGCATAATATCGACTGAGAATCTTGTTCAATAAGCCATCTCGAGACTGTAATCGCACCAAAAACCGGGAGGTTTGGTAGATAGAATCAACACGTGCATGCCGAAGGTCGTGATATTGACAAAACATGCTCTCTATTTGTCCAGGAGTTGGGATCTCAGTCACCAAACCTTTTTTCATCTTCAATATTATGTTTGCTAGGGCGGCAGCATCTTCAATGGCCATGTTGGCCCCTTGACCGATATTAGGTGTCATCTTGTGAACACTATCACCTATCAGCACTAGTCTGCCATGAGACCAGTTCTGAAATGTATTCTTTTCCAGTACTGTCATTGAGGCCGTCTCGCGATTTTTCCATAGACGTCCGAATGTGATATCCTTGTAGAATACAGTTTTCCTCATTTCCTCTGCGGCAACCGAAGTATCATGTGATGTATAGCGAGGACAGTTGGGATAGACGTATTTCTTGTCTAGTTTTTGTATGACAAACCAATAAATTCGGCCGTCCTTGCCATGAATTGTCACTATTGTCAGGCCATCGAACAACGCATTGACTTGTTCACCTAGATTCAATCCTGGAATCGCAGAGGAGATGCCGAAGATGCAGCGGAACTCCGCCGTGAGACCTATGGATCAATTAGCACGAATCATCCCACCAGATGGTTATGCTTTCACTAACTGGTCCTGTCCTGTCTAGTAATGTTTGTTCCGCTATCTTTCTCTAACATCTCCCATATTTCATTCCGAATTATGCTGTGAACACCATCCGCCCCTACAACGATACTGCCTTTATACTCCCGACCATTGCTCGTAGTTACTATCACACCATCACTAGAACTTTCAATAGCTATAACCCTCTCACTTAGAAAAATCCCATCGCGATCGGCGTATTTCGTATAAAGAATATCCAGCAGGCGCTTTCTGTCTAGAAATGCGATCAGAAACCCGAACCTATTGGCATATGTTAGCGTTTTTAGATATAAAAGAACCTTATCAGGGTTTCAAGCTATCGAACCTTTCATTAATTAGCGTGGGATAGTAACTGCTGAAACTAAACCCATCTGCAAAGGTGATGATTGCCTTTTTCAGTGGTTCAATGTATCTTTCAACCTCATCATATAGTTGGAGTTGATCGAGCACGCGGGCTCCATTCGGCAGGATTCCGATGGAGGCTCCAATCTGAGGCGCCGGATCGCTTGATTTCTCCAGAACAATATGGCTCACCCCGGCCCGTTGGAGTCAATGTGCGATTTTTAACCCTCCAATTGAGCCACCCACAATGATGACCTGAAATTCTTCCTTACTCATTTTGAAGTTTCTCGTGGACCTCAAGACATAAAAAAGTTTTCAGATGCTTGAGGATATGAGGTGATTAATAGAAGTCACATTGTTAATTCCTGGGCCCATATATCAATATGCTTATTATTCCAGTATGTTGAACTCTTTTATTTAGGACACGCTTGGGTACGAAATAGTACTTGATGCTATTCGTCTCAGAATCACAATACACAGTATTGCGATTTGCCCGTTTGAACATGTATCGGGCATCCGGCCCTTCCGTAAGTCGCCATCTCCCTTATTATTCCGGCAAGGAATGATAAGTTGATTCAGTTTTATGCATCATTATTTTCTAAATGTGGAAATAGTTACATTCAGATTTCGACCGCATCTCAGGCTTGCTTCTTTATCCTGCATATTGCCACGCTTTTTTCATGTCGCCGGATATACCAATGACAGATTTCGTACATTCCGCTAAGCACAAGAAAGACTCTTAGGTTCCAACCAGCTAGGTAGTTATTAGGCCAAGCGAATGATTCTTACCAGTACATCGAACCTAGACTAGCAAGTTTCACTGCACAGCTTGAACCGAAGAAACGGGACGCCCTAAGAATAATGAGCATTGAAGCTCTCCCATTCTTAAAAATACACACGGTCTTCGGCTTTTAAGAAATTAAACTACACCCAACACATATACAAGGAACTGCGTGTACTGCCTCAACAGAGAGCCGACTTTGTTCACCAATGCCTAAAAGAAGCTGACATTTGACTGCTCCCTAAGAGCTGACCAGTGACCGTCCAATCTCATTCGCTAAAACCATATGACTGAACATGAACAAAAAAATGGATGTGCTGAATATCAAAAGCAGATTCTGTTCAGCAAGTGGGGCATGATTCCATTCTCGAGATGCAAACTTGATTGCTGGGTATCTGGCAAGGAAGTTAATAAGAAGCCTGCATAAGAATACGCATGTATCTACCTGACCTTTGGGGGATAAATGGGACAGTAGACAATGTCCAATGCAAAATTGTAGCAGAGTGGCAGGGTTTACATTTCATGTGTGCCTTCTGTGGACAAAATTGGTCCTTCCGGGCGCTCGGGAAGCGTCAAAAACACCCATAATTATGTGTTGAGTTAAAAGATGTGGTCGATGTGGGATAATACATCGATTGGGTAAGGGCAAATCTAGCCATAACAACGGCCAATTATACATTTATATATGCATTCAATTGTGATATAGGTTTATTTTGAAACAAGCCCAGCTGTAACATATGTTTCAAGCCGAAAGTAGTGGAATCGGGCATCATTCACGCCCATGTGAGCTCCGTTTACGTATTTGCCATACTTTTATCTCAGTCACTGCCAAGCTGCTATTTGAATTGTTTGACAATTAACATGAATACCCAATCAAGTAATATGCCTTGCATGGTTTTTTTCTGGAAACAGAAAACTAAGATTCCAAGAGTTTAGATTAACCCGCATGAACTACCTAGATAAATAGCTCAGAATATATACCCAGCTTGATTCAATGGGTCTTAGCTATGATATTTTAAATTCAACATGGGTTGGTTAAATATTTAGGCCGGGTGACGGAAAACCTGCGGTACTATTGATTTGACGTGTAAATCAAGTGGCAGTTGAATGATTATGCAGGACGAAATAAAATCTGATTTCATGATATAATAGAGCTTACTATAGCTGAGTATATACTATATCATTTAGCTGCTGATCACTGGTCGAATTTAGATCGGAATGACGGCATATGTGACTCTCCTCAATAGGTATTGCCAAGAAAAGCTGACATGGGAAGTTGTTGCAATACTGGTGTCCAACTCAATATCAAACATCCTTACACCTGGCATTGTCTTGGGCATGGGCGAAGTTCAAAAATTTTACTTGCAGCTTTTATTGCCCTCATTTTTATATGGGCGCCACAACTAGCGTAAATAATTTATCGGCGGCTATTTGATAGTGGATTTCTATGGGTATGGAGCGGAACTTTTGCCTGGGAAATAAGATGTGAAAATAAAAGGTGTTTCCATTTTCTTGAACCAAAGACCAAATCTTAAAGCAAAGAATCAATCAAATTTCGAAACTGAGATAAGCATCCTCTTTGAGCTATGAAGTTCTTTTGGGGTGCTGGGGACACGGACATGGGGACCTTAGTCCCCATGATTTCCTCGGTCGCGGCTACTGGAATCCTTTATCTCGTTTTCAATTATGCATTTATCCCGCGGCACTGGTCTAAGAAGGCCCAGTTAATTGGAAGTCAAAATCCCGAGAGAATAACAGGACTCGAGTGTTCATATGGATATCTCCGGCAAATATATGGGAAGCACCATTGGGCACCCTTTGTCAACAAGCTATCCCCTACACTTCGCGAGAAAGACGAGTTCAAATATGACATGGTGCTCTAAATAATGGATGTTGTCCATCTTTGCTTAATTCTAGTCGATGATGTGAGCGTCCGACCCCATATAGCCCTATTGGACTGAACTCAGGCTCATCTTCTCTTCCCAATTTTTCCAGATATCGGACGGAAGTGATTTTCGCAAAGGAGTACCGGCTGCTCATACAATTTACGGTCCATCAGAGACAGCGAATCGCGCTTACTATAGAGTTACTCAAATTCTTGCCCAAACGGTCGATAAATTTCCGAGCTTGTCGACCTGGTTGGTCAATGATCTGCGAGATATCCTTCAAGGCGAGGATATGTCCCTTGTTTGGCGGAGAGATGGAATTTGTGGCTTTCCTACGGCTCCAGCCGACAGGGTTGCGGTCTATAGACAAATGGTTTCTTTAAAGACCGGTTCTTTGTTCCGTCTGCTTGGGCACCTCGTTCTTGAAAACAAATCCATGGATGAAACCTTCAGTATTGTTGGGTAAGCTATCTTCTCCAGGCGGCATATAAACTAGGTAGGAGCTAACTATTCACTGTCCCAGATGGTACTCGCAATTGCAAAATGACTGCAAAAACATTTATTCATCTGAATACGCGAAGATGAAAGGACAAGTAGCCGAGGACTTGTATAACCGTGAGATGACTTACCCGATCGTGATTGCATTAGACGCCCCTGGAGGGCATTGGGTGACAGCGGCTTTATCAACCCCATCACGCCGGAGTATTAGAAATGCTCTCAATGTGATCCAAGGTCCATTTGTTAGGGACATATGTATGGCGGAGTTGGAAATGTCTGGTGCCTCGGTAAGGGAATGGTTGGCTATATGGAAGAGGAATGAGAAATTGGACCTGAAGTCATGAAACCGTCTCCTTAGCCTAGCACATACAGGACATCATTATTTATGTGGTGGAACAAACATCGGTTGCACTTTTTGTTGCGTTAATGGTTCTGGGTATTGTGGTAGCCTTAGTGGGCGGAGTCCACACACAGTACAATTTTTCTTGTCCGGTCATATTGCCTGCTAATCTATTGAAATGAAATATTTGATGATTTTCTCCAATAATCCAAACAGAGCAAAAACAGTAGTAAACGCTTCACTGGCTAAATCTAAGTTGTTTCGGTATCGCCGACCACCTCGGGATCTCGAGAAATAAGGCCAGCGGCCATGCAGATATGAGTTCTCCTGGGAAGGTATAGCCCATCTGATAAAGTGAAATACAACATAAAATCCCTTCCTCTGCTATCGACTATTATAGCACTGCCTATGATATAAAAATTATATCCCTTGCTACTAGGAGTACAATACAAATAGTACAACAATATAGATGATGTCATCATATATATCACGTGACCACATGGCTGATCGGCGAGTTTTACCCCGCGGCAACTGTTGATAATCCACATCTTGATATTCTCCAAGAACTGAATCACTACCGACAATATGGGTATTTTTGGTCATCATCATCTCGACCCTATCACCGAGCCCATTGCCATTTTCGAACAATTTGTCTCAAACGAGCCGCAGACATTGATTCTGAAGGAGAAGGTGCTTTCTGTCTCTGGGGATAGCTTTGAGATCAAGCTAGCTACCGGGGAGCCTCTTCTCAAAGTTCATGGTGCTTGGATATCCCTTTCTGGTCGCAAAAAGGTCGAGGATACACACGGCAAACACCTTTTCGATATCTCCAAGGAGCTTCTACATCTCCATACAACTTACGCCATCGAGGATCCCCATAAGAAGAAGATATGTGAAGTGAAGAGTAGTCTGAAATGTATGTCATTGATTATCATTTTGCGAGCCTTGGCTTTGAAATACAAAATTGAAGACCTCACTGACCTTCCTAGTGCTGGGCTCAAAAGCCACCGCGACCTTCACCGACCATAACGACAGGGCGGTGACATTCACCATGAAAGGAGGCTGGTATGACCATAGTGCCGATATAGTCAATGATAAAACCGGTCAAACGGTTGCACGCATTGACCGAAAATTGCTTAGCGGTCGTGATCTTGTGTTCGGCCAACAGACATATGCTGTCGTCGTTGCCCCTGGTGTAGATGCGGCTTTGATTGCCGCCCTTTGTATATGCTTTGATGAGAAGAATAATGATGAACGTGGTGAGTGAAACTACGTTCTGAGTTTCCAATAAATGCATTGGGACATGGAATACCCACGAAAGAACAATCTATATGTCTGTATGTTCAAGTTTTACAGAATTCACCAGGTCATTTCGTTACCTCTAGGGAGTTGTATATCGTTATTTTTTTTGGGTAAATCTTGAGAGCTACATATAGATATCATGACTTGAACTTTGAAGGTTGTCTCCCATTTAGAAGTTCCTTGCGATGCACTTCCTCGTTGCCTCTCATCTGCATCCAAGGCGGAAATTACTATAAGCGATTCCCAACAAATTAAAACGATGCTTCCAATCCCTCTATATCCAAACTTCACCTTTGTCCTTCACTTTTCGGGTCAATGCCTATCGGACGAAGCTATCTCTGGAATACTCTGGGCCATTGCAACAGAGAGCGATCCAAACAAGGCTACCAAAGCACTGGTCCCAGGCTGGTAACAACATCAAATAGGTCATTGCTTCAAGGGTGGGTTGGCTTCGCGAAACTTCGAAAGGAGGTTCCGGAACTGTTGAATTCCTTCTTGTAGAAATTAAGGGCGCGAAACGAAACCCAGATGAACTTATTATAACCAGACTAACAGGCCCTTTTTTTAGTTTAGACACCGACCGCACTTCCGGCCTTAAGATGATACAAGACAACTTGGGAATTGGTGCAACTGTCGTTGGTGATATAGTAGCAAATAAATTAGGCTTCGATGATCTATTCGAATATGTGGATAAACCACCAAGCGGCTTTCGCAGAACAAACCTTCCATTTTCAAAGGGTCGTAAATTGATTGCCTATGATCCGGCAATCCCATGAACATATCAGAACTAAATGCAGAGCTGGAGTCATATACTCCAGGTTTTTTTTTTATTCCTTCCGTATTCCTTCCGACTTTCTAAGGTCACCGATTAAACACCTCTCTCGGCCATCTCCTCGCCTGAAAAATCAGCACACTATGCCAGGAATCCCCCATCCACAACAAGCCGAGTACCTGTGATATAGGAAGCATCGTCGGAAAGGAGAAAAGCGATAGCGTTTGCGCACTCCCTTGGTTTTCCCAGGCGCTTGACAGCAATCGTGGTTGCAACTTGCGCAGATTCTTCGGGATTGGTGTTCGTCATGGGAGTCTCGATGACACCAGGTTGAAGCTCATTGACTCTGATATTTCGTGTTGCCCAGTCAAGAGCGGCGACGCGGGTTAGACCCCTGATGGCGTGTTTGCTAGCCGAGTATGCGGCGCGCTGTGGAAGACCACGATCCGCAAAGACGCTAGAAACATTGACAATAGCACCACCGCCAGATTTATCAATGGCTCCAAGTTGAGCTTTCATGCAATAGAACAAGGATGAAATATTGATACTAATAGTCTCATCCCAAACTTTTTTGGGGAGGTCGGTGATCTGACAATTCTCACCGGAGACACCGGCATTATTCACAGCGTAGTGAAGAGCTCCGAACTTGGCCAATGTGTTTTTCACAACTTTCTCGATCATGTCTAGGTCGGCGACATCTGCAATCTGAACAAGAACTTCGCCTCCCAGGGTTTGAATATTTTTCTCAACCTCACGGAGTGGACCTTCTCTTCTGCCCACGATGACGACTTTTGCACCTCTTTCAGCAAGGAGAATAGCAGTATCCGCGCCAATTCCTGTGCCAGCGCCAGTCACAATGACCACTTTATTTTTGAATTGGGTATTAATTGCCATTCTGGCTAGAAGAAGAAGAAAATAAGAATGATGGTAGCCGTAGTAAAATGAGAGAGCAGGTGACAGATTGTCAAAATTGAATTCGTTGAGGCTAGGGAACGACTGAGTAGTAAGTTTTTGGCTATTTATATACATTTCTCACAATATTAGCGTCGAATCCATGTAATACTTTCTAAATATAATCAAATTTCCACTGTCTTACTTGTTCACTCTATTGAAACGGTGAGCTGACATCCACTTCTCTACTTCTCTAACAAGACACTGTATGTGAATAAAAATTACCAAGCTCAATGTGCGTTATTGTTCGGTTATAATAATCACTTTAGTTCCGACAATTTACCTCGGGGTCCGTGCTAACTTTAACGGCGATGGCACTTTCGACAACTCCACGCTGACAGACTACTAACTCCTTCGGGACTATTTTTACTTCACATTCAGTTCTGCCGTTGTATGAAGACCGACTGTTCGAAAAAGGCCCCATACTGACAGACTACTAACTTAATCGAGGACATGGTCCAATCTCTAGAAAGAGTAAGTGCATAAAGTGGCTGCATCGCATTCGTCGTTTTGATTGGATTTGGCAGGCAATGTGGGGCGGGCTAGTAATATCGAAAATGAATAAATAATTACCATTAAGTTCAGTGGGGTTTTCATGTCTCCTTCCACAATCGGGAGATTCCATGCGAACACGAGTGGGTGGAGTTCGCTGGACGGGCTCGCAACCTATATCGATGGAACTCTTCAGCCCCAAAAATAGGCTCAAGGCTGGCGGTGGGTCAATACTATCGATCCGATGCAGAATGCTGCCTAATCTTGACGACCATACGAAGTAGAGGACCTGATTTTCCAGCCGACTCATCTGCTTTGCTTTCTAGGGCCTTGGATCTTTATCAGGGGTGTTCCAGCTTTCGGCTCTTCGTCTAATCATCAGCCCATGTCAAAGGGCTCATCTATAAAGCCCATAGTTGCCCTGCCATGAAGAGCGATTTGATCGACTTTCCACTTGACATAATCAAAACATCTACTCTTTTGAAAATATTGGCCTCGCGATGACAAACTCACCACCCATAACCACGGCCCTGGAAGCCGACTACGTGATTGTCGGCGGAGGAACGGCAGGTTTGGTCTTGGCGTTGCGACTGTCCGAGAACCCAAACACGTCGGTTATCGTTTTGGAGGCAGGCAAAGATCTGATTCAGGATCCGAGGGTTCAGATCCCGGCACTTTGGACTACTTTGATGGGAACTGACGCGGACTGGCAATTCCAAACCGCTCCCCAAGTAAGTGAAAGCCATAATGCCCCTTCGTCAAACCTTGATCTAATGATCAAACTAGAGTCTCTTGGACAACCGATCCATCAAATCTCCTCAGGGCAAAGCTCTAGGTGGATCATCTGGAATCAATGCTCAGGCCTTCATGGCTCCTACTAGAGCAACTATCGACGCCTGGTCCAAGCTAGGAGCAGCTGGTTGGACATGGGAGCAATTGCGTCCATACTACAAGAAGGTTTATAGCCTACAGCTTCCCGATGAAGCTACCCAGAAACATATTGGTACTACTGGCTGGTTGGACAGAGATAGTCATGGATCTTCTGGTCCTATCAAGGTGTCTTTTTCAGCTGGCATCGAGAGTCCGGTGTTGAAAGAGTGGCTAGGGACATTTCAATCAATCGGTTATGGCATTACTGCCGATCCATTTTCTGGGCAGTCCAGTGGAGGCTACAGCACCCTGGCCGCTATTGACTCCGAGACAAAAACCCGCAGCTATGCAGCAACAGGCTATGGTCTTCCCGCCATGCAACGATCCAATGTACGGATTATAACCGAAACACTAGTGCGAAGAATTGAGTTCGATTCCGACAGCATCGGGGATCGTAGTCCGGAGAAATCCAGTCAGCCTAGCATAGCCTTGGCAACTGGTGTTCAGATTTTGCTTCAGAATCAAATCCATAGCGTGAGAGCCAACAGGGAGGTAATCATCTCGGCTGGGGCGATAAACATCCCAAAGCTTTTGGAATTATCCGGCATCGGGAATCGCAAGATTCTAGATCAGCTCCATATCCCACTCGTGATTGATAACCCGAACGTCGGCGAAAATCTCCAGGATCATCTCATGAGTGGAATAAGTTTCGAAAGTGTGGATAGCGTACCGACAGCAGATGGCTTGATGCGTCAAGAGCCCGAGGCACTGCAAAGCGCCATGCATCTATATACTGAGCATAAGACCGGGCCCCTCACGAGCCCGGGAATGCAATCCGGCGCTTTCATGCCGTTCCGCACTGATTCTGGCGGCGAAGCTTATCAAAAGGAGGATTCCACTAGCATGCAAGAGTACCTGGACAAATGGCCGATTACCGCTGACCAGCGCGAGAAAGAGATCCGCCACATATTAAGCCAACCGGGTGCACCAACATCTTCCCAGTTAAACTTTTTGGCGCAGGTGAACTTGCATGAGACTGGAAAAACATTTGTGGGCCAAAACCTGTTGCCCGGCAATTTCATTAGTCTGGGACTCCTTCAAACACTGCCATTCTCCCGCGGCACGGTTCATGTGTCAAGCGTGGACCCGGCCAAACCGCCAGTGATTGATCCACGCTACTTCTCGCACCCGTTGGACCTCGACATTATGGCACGTGGGCTTTTGGATATTCATCAGATCCACAGAGTGAAGCCAATCTCAGAGCTTCTAAAGCCAAATGGACGACGCAATCACCCAGACGCCTTCCTGACAGATTTGGAAAGCGCAAAGAAATATCTCCAGGCAACTGCAACCTCTTCATATCATCCGTGTGGCACAGCTGCCATGTTACCTCTGTCTCGAGGGGGTGTGCTCGATGAAAATCTCCAAGTATACGGCACGAAGAATCTTCGAGTATGCGATGCCAGCATTTTTCCATTAATCCCTGCTGCCAATATTATGTCCACGGTCTATGCAGTGGCTGAGCGAGCAGCGGACCTCATCAAGGCTGGTTCAGAGGGGCAGTAGTCTCCTCAAGGTGAGCTTTGGGAAACCCACGACAGGTATTTCCGAAACAAACATCGAGCGTGGGTAGCTGGAGCCCAATAAATTTAATAAATGAAGCATTAATCCTTCTCTCTTTGTCAGTCAAGGTTGTGGCTCTGCATCTTGTTATTCTGTTATCTAACACAAATTGAATTCACGAAATTTCATACATTAAATACATGATGATTCCTCTATAACCCTCACAGGATAAAATTCATTACTGAAGCCAAGCTCCCCATCTCTGGGAGACAAAAAGTTAGATTCAAACACTATTATAGATTTTTGCAAAATTTGGACGCGACCAGATTTTGTAAATTTCTTCAGTGGATAGAAATCCGGATTTTTCTCCCCATATACTAATTAATATATAGTCCTCCAGCTCGAAACTTATTTAAGCTTTCCAAGGTAGTCGATAATTCATAAAATGAGACTATCCACGATATGTTTGATTCAGGTGGCAGCATGGATAGATACGTACCAATGGCGAGAAAGCATAACTTCCAAAGTTAATCTTCATTCGATTCGGCTACATTGGCTACCACATAAATTACCTGCTATGAAGAAACGCATATCGGGAAATAGTAACCAAGTTCAAGAGCGAGAATCCGCGCAATTATGAAACCTCCATCCTTATTTTGTGCTATACCGAGGAAAGACTCACTTCGCGCCACTTTTCATCCGAGGCAGCAAGTGCATCACTCGCTGCGCGGCCATATTCAACCGCTTCAGGGCCAATAAGCAGGCGTAGAGGCGGCTCCTTATCGTCCAAAACTTTCAAGATAATAGCCGCAATCTTGCTCGGGATAGAAGGCTCGCTTCCGTTGGATTTGCGAAGGGTCTCGACAAAGGCCCCCACTGTCGGCTGGTATGGCTCGCTAACTGGGGGCACATGCATCGAGGAGCCTGCCCAATCGGTCCTGATGCCGCCAGGCTCAAGTACGGTAATCTTGATACCAAGGGGAGCTACCTCTCGTGAAAGGACTGTCGAAAAGCCACCAACAGCCCACTTGGAGCATTGGTAGGCAGAAAGACCCGGAGAGCCAACGCGTCCGCCAAGCGAGGACACCTGGAAGATATGACCGCCTGACGTCTGCTGACGAAGGATAGGAAGAACTGCCTTCGAGACGAAGACTACGCCAAAAAGGTTTGCATCGACTTGAGACCGGAAGTCGTTGATGTCAATGTCCTCAACGGCAGCAGTGTTCGCGTATCCGGCATTGTTGATAACAACGTCGATTCGGCCGAATCTTTCATGTCCCGTTTTGACAGCCTGAATGACCTGATCATTATCGGTTACATCAAGGGCAACGGGGAGAACTCGGTCAGAGCCAAATTTCTCGACAAGGTTGGCGAGCTGTTCTGGCTTTCGTGCGGTGGCGATGACAGAATCTCCATTGTTGAGGGCAGCTTCTGCTATGGCGAGGCCAAGACCACGAGACGATCCAGTGATAAACCAGACTTTCATAATGAACAGCAGAAGGGAGGATAAAATAAGAAATATTGAGTAGATTGAGGATGATGGGGTGGAGGGACACGGGATGTCATGGTATATTTATACTTACATGAGGATCATACAGACAACTTGAAACGGTCGATGGCCAATTGGCCCTTTGTAACGAGCAGTCGCAACCTTGTAATTGAGCATACAGCGCATATTGGAGCGTACAATCTCGTTGCGGTCAGCTCTCCCTGTCTTGTTCTTTTCTAGGATGGTATCTATGTATGGCATTATAGTCAGAACGCTAGCCTGAGTTTGAGAGTATCCTTACTTTACCGAACTAACCAAATCCAGACAATGGTTCACTTTCCCAAAGTAGTCAAACTCAGATACTACCCCGCCATGCACTTTGTTGTTTGGGGGCCAAATCCATCCCAAAAAGCTGGTCCAATAGGGTCATGCGCCGTTGTTTTTTGCAATATTTCATATTTATCTTGCAGATCGAGAGATTTCGCGCGAATACGAGCCGGTGGGGGCAGTTTGTCGAAATGTAGTTGAATCGCTAGCGGGCCGAGCTGCTGAATGATCTAGATAAGTAGTGCAAGCCAGATACGAATGATGTGTTTGACAGCCACAGATTAAGACGGCTGAGGAACTTCGTCCCATGCTAGCGGATTATGTTGGGGTTGCCCTATGCTTTACAGCAAATGGAAGACTTTGGGTTGGCAGCATTGTCGACGAAGTATCAGTCTAAGACTAAAGGTCTACAGTATAAGTAGAGGTATCTTGCCCTCAACCACAGAGTTCATATTTCACAGCAGTAATAAGTACGCAACATTATTACCTTTCTATTATTTTTACGGTCTGCTTTCAATTAATTTCTGGCTCTTCACTATGCCTCTTTGGCGCATCTATCATGCCACCGAGGCGCTCTCGGTTGCAGACTAGGCTGAACTCGCCCAGATCGTGACCAACCTCTATTCCACCCCACCCCACCCCGGGGCACTCTGCCCGCGTTTTACGTCGACGTGATATACATCGAAGTCCCTCGGAATAATTTTTTTTGTGGCCGGCAGTCCCCTAAATGATTTTGTTCAATTCAGCATCGAGCATCTCGCCAACCACGTGAACAAGGATCCCGAGCGTTTGATTAGCTTCCATCGACCCATCGACGATGCGCTGATTCCCTTCTTGAAGGAGCGAAGAGTCGAATGGGGGTACATCTTGGTTAATGGAATCCGCGAGGAATGGCAGATTAATGGCTTTGCTCCACCCCCCTTTCTTAGTGATGCTGAGCGACTTTGGGCCAAGGAAGGGTCCGCCGTGCCATACTAAGGTTTCCGACGAGGAGATACTATCGATTTGATGGAGATGAGGTTTTTGTCTATAGGGGAGTTGTATCTGGGGTCCAAGTGAGCTACCGGAAATATCTGTCAAGCCAAAACGGTTGTCATGTTCGCGTTTCTACTGAAGTACCATATTTTTTATTACCGACAGATGTTTGAGCTTACCTAGAGTACGTCAATGTTATTGATTGAGAGTGTACATTTCGGGAAGGGACTGAGTTACTTGTAACGTACGATAGTTAGTAGACGTAAACCGAGTGTTATTGATGTTGAAGTAAAACGAACTCGTCATTAACTATTTCAAAAATTCTTCAAAAATAACCACATGATACGCAATAATATCTAGTGCTTTTCTTTAAGTTTTATAGACTTTTTGGAATATTTTCAAAGTTCATTTCAATCAGAATAGAAATTTACATAAATTCTAACTAAGCTTAAGACAGTAAGGGCTACTTGATCAGAAATCTTCTTTTAAAATCTACAATTAAAACTCTTCTTATTCAAATTATATAAAAAAATGAATTAGAATATAGAAAATAGCCTTATACTATATAATAAAATATGGGAATTTTAGAATAGCCACAGTAGTTAGTACCTTCTAGCTGGAAAGTGGATCTCTGAACGTACTAGATCCACCACACGTCGAAACGGAAGGTGTATCTTTACCAAATTTCGTGGCTTCAACAAAAAGCCCCGCGAGAAAGCACTCTAACATATGCTAACTGTAGGAAAGTTGACCCGGTGGAACGGTCCGTGTTAATCTAAGGAGGGGTTGAGAGATCTTCTATCCGCTGTGCAGAATGAGAGATTCTGCCCGAATACGAGTTGGTGGGGTCATTTATGTATGTTTTTTTGGGGAATTTGATGCCTCAGGCATAAAGATCGCCCCAGTCCCTGAACATCACACATCTTACATGGATTTTCATTTTACAGTTCTGAGCTTCTCTCAATTTCAAATCTCTTGTTGAGGGCCTCTCAAAGGTTTCAGCCTTTCTGTTGTGCTCACGACGCATTGTTTACTAGCCCGCCACGACATTTTTTCAAAAATATGTTGGAGGAACTGAACATGCTATTGTAGCCTTTTAGAGTAGCTCTCAGTACTCCGTAGTCCATGGCTACTACTTTAAGCAAGACCCAGGCATGTCCAGCGACCTCATTGCTTTGTTTTCTTGACTCTGTAATAGAGGCCCCCTTCTCCACTATCAACAATAATGCTAAAACCATTATCTTCAAAACTACCACCGGTTTCTTTTGGGGGGGGTTGACAAAAGTATGTTGACATTCTTAATATAAAACTTACCCATCTTCGAGTCATTCAGCTTAACCCTGCTAGGTGTGGTTGTTTATACATAGTCATCGGCCGAGTGGATAGCACACGTACTTTGCTAGGCGGTCAAACTTCGCTTCTCTTGGCCAATGACCCCTTTATTTTTTTCCCCGCAAATTTTGACTCGATGGGCCAGTAAAACTCAGCAAGGATGTGGCTGAAGCCGTTGCCAACGCTTATCTGATGGATTTATGGGTAAGTAAACATGCCTTCGGGCTAAATAGGAAGGAATAGTAGCTTACCAGTTGTTGCTAGCGAAACTTGACCTGCTCATTTAGCATGCAAACTTTTCCTCGTATCGGGAGTCACTCCAGTTCGGCTAATGATCTACGCAGTTTACACGCTAATTTGAGATCGTAATAACCGTGAAGATTTGCCTTATCTGCGTCTCACCAGGTCACCTGGGCCAGTGGTCATCGGGAACGGGACCCGACTCGAGCTCTGCAAAGGAGAGACCAAACGAACAGTTTGATTTTGAACGACATAGAGCTCAATATGCCCCCCAAGGGCGAAGGGGAAGACCCCCCCAAATACGGGTTTCCAATTTGTTGCGGAAGATCCATCGTCTGGCAAAATTACGTCGAACAACCTTCACAAAGTACGATCTCATGCCGGAAAATGGATATGGCGCCAACTTCGACATGGTCGAGACAATGCGAACACCAGGCCCGGACGCAATCATCTCGACTCCGACTCCGCCGTGTCAGATACACATCGAATCCCAGAAATGTCGGAACCAAAAGAATCCCGACCATTCGAATTGCCATGTACTTCGTCGGCAGCGCAGTCATCAAAAATACAAACCCTAGAGGACGATTGCATCGAAAACCCCCAAATAAATATGGAGCCTTCAACGCCACGAACTGATTCCATTTCTGGCATATTAGATCCATTCCAAAGTCATATATCGCCCTCTCCTCTGTCAGATGAGCTTGTTAGCCATTCAATGCAATACTGTAGGCCAGGGCTACCCACGCTACCGAATTTGGTCCACTAACCTATCCTCTTAGGTCTATCTGTACTTTGGCCCGAGATGATGCCACGATCTTCAATAGGTGTGAATCATGCTGGCGTTCAAGGCTGGTTCTCAAACTCCCTCTCAAATTCAGCTCTTCACAGTGCGATGCTCTTTGGATCTTATTCCCACCGCCGGGTAATGTGGCAAATGAAAAGACAAAGCTACTTCAGTACCGATGATGAACGGAACATGGCGATTTGTGAATCAGATTCAATCAAACGGATAAATTTGGCGATTCAAAATCCACGCGAGGCAGCCACCGATTCTATTATCTTATCCGTCCTCTGTTTAGCCACCAATCGAGAACGTCCGATAGGTGATCATTTTCAGAAGTCGCCATTCCAGTCACCACTGCGCAGTTTGCAATGGCTTAATGTATATGGCCGACTATCTTCAAACCCAGTTCACCAGGCCGGGTTAGTACAGTTAGTACAGCTCAAGGGTGGGTTGGAGAAAATCGAGATACCTGGTCTTGCTGGGGTCATAGCCTAGTAAGTCTTGATAAATGGAAAGGACACTGGGTTTCATTCTGGATGTTGCTCTGACGCAGAGACATGAAAATAGCTCCAGTGTATTAGGCGCAAGCAGATTTTTGACCCGACCATATTTCACCTATATTCCCCTTCAGCCAGGAATTTCATTGATGCTGGAGGATGTCATCAACTCACAAGTTACTCGGACCTATTCACCGACAGATTTATACGATGAATTCCCCGTCACCTCTGAAATGCAACATATTTTCCGGGCCTCCCGTTCATACCTTGCCTTGGTCCAGACATACCAAGATGGTATTCCTATAGCCATGGTCACACTAGCCGACTACCGAAATTTGGTACAATGGCACATTATGTCTCTTTCACCGGTCAGTGAGCTAGAAGGTAACATCGATGAGCTATCCCCATTATATGAACCTTGTCGGCTGGCGCTCATCATCATGGGAGTTGGAGTTATATTTCCTCTCCCCCCTCAGTCAGCTCCTTTATTGTATCTCGCAGAAATGCTGCAGACGGATATCCGATCAAAGACAGATATAACTCAAAGTCTTTCTTTGGTGGGTCGCAAAATTAAACTCTGGTGCCTTATTGTCGGCACTATTGCGGCATCTGGATCGGCAGTCAGAGCGTGGTATATGGAAGAGCTCGCATTCCATGCTCAATTGCATTGTCGACCTGAGTGGAGTGAGATCAAGCGAGATTTGAACGGAATTTTGTGGCTGGATAGCGCTTGTGAACTGGCAGGGAGCCGAATATGGGTGGAAGCCTTGAGCCTTTCAAATAGAAAGGATCTCTTCAGGCATACCCAAAGACATTGATAATCGGTCAAGCCAACTGTCCTCAGACTCTGCTTTGTGAGGACCGCGAAATCCGTTCATGCATTTGCCAGGGACATTTAAAGCAGAATAATGGTCTTCAAACCGATCCCAGCCTCTGCTCCCCGATGAAGATAATGGTCTATTGGACATGGAGTATCTGCGTCGGTCCCCATCGGACTTGAGGCCCGCTGACAGCTGGTGGAGTAGTGAAACGGCCGATCCGATTCCTTCGAGTGAGAACCGCGTCAGGTTATCGGCAGCAGCGGTTGGAATTAACCCAATGAAATCAACTCTCTTCTCAGGAAGGTTTTCCTGGCAACCCATCAGTATGTCATTCTGAATTTCACGGAGGAAGTATCGACAATCATCAATTCGAGTTAATAAATGCTGCCTCCGGTTTTCATCATTCTCATCGCTCCGCACAAGCACTTTTGTCTCCGCAAAAAGACCAGGGCAACTAGCGATTTGATGAAATGCATACTCGATCAGCTCTCCCAGGCGACTAGCCCTTCCGCGTTGCTCTTCTTGTTTCACGACCTGTGGGATAGCATCTTGCCATTCACGATCTTCCAAAAAACATCTCTCCCCGCACATAAATGCGTCATATACAATGAATCCTCGAAATGAGACAAGCAAAGTCCGTGCTAGCCCTTTGGTGTGCGCTTGAGGCCCTCGAAGCCGAACAAGGGAGGAGATTCCACGCGAATGGAGCAGCCATGATGTTTGCCCCGTTGCATTTGACAACTCATATACGCCAAGCAAAATAGCCGTAGCCAATGTATCATCTGATCTGGCTAAGGAAGGTTTCTTTAATGCTTGTCCCAAGTGCTGCAGTGCGCGTCCGTACACCTCGCGGCTGGTTGATATCTGTGGGTTGTCTCCGTGATTTCGACCTAGATGTAAGCTTCCCAGACTACGCATTGCCCAGTCGAGAGCTTTGCTGAAACGAAACTGAGAGCTGCGTGCCAATTCCATCCAGTTAAGTTCAACACGAGTGCTATATCCGTGAAATTGTCCCGAGAAATTGGCCTCCACAAACGCACAAAACCCTTCTCTGTATTGCTCGTTCATAGTTTGATTGACCAAACTCGGTGCTATCGTTTCGTCCATTGAAGCAGCAGATTGGGGCATCTTTTCTCGAGCGTGATCTGTATATGACGCTAGAACTTGAACCTCGCGTTGAAGTGGCTGCTTGGACTGGGGCTGGCTTTCGGGTGGTCTCTGAGATACTCCAGAATGATAAAGAAATTTCCGCGCTCTTTCATACCCAGGGCACTTTAAGCCTCGCCCTTGACATATGTTGCAAGCAGGAAGAGTCTCATCGCACTAGGGTTGGATTGTTCACAATAATTCCATCGTAGGTCGCTGTGGGGTGGCTTGGCTTACCTTAACCCGACGCTTGAGGCAGGCTAGACAGCCTTTACTCCGCAGTATACCGCCCATCAGAAAATCTTCCAATCCACAGGTCAATGGAAGTCAGGGGAAATTTGGTTTCTTTTCAATGGTGGCTTGATTCCTGCTTCAGCTGAGCTGACGTGAGCGTGACAGTTCCAGTGGTTTTTGTGGGGACTGGGATAACCTGCCCCACATGGTCAGTCGCAGTCTAGAATGAGCTGGTAAACTTTTGGGCACACGAATGCCAAAGCGTTCCTAGTTCTCGAGCAGCTTTTCTAAAAAGAAAGAAAGAAAAAAGAGAAAGTTGAATCACAAACAGACTTCTGATCGCTCAAGTTTGTTCTACTAAGAGGGATCCCTGGGTCAGCAGGGTCCTACTCATCGCTCGGTAGGGTAAATGAAAAATTTAATACTTAGATTCTAAGGCATCAAATATCAATCAAGTCGAGGCATGAAGGCATGAATAATGAAAAATATAGTGGCGACGGAGGTGAGAAGGGAACCTATGAGGTAGAACTGGGGGCACCAGATTTCAAGTCACCTAACATATTACACGTAATCAACAACACAAATTCAATATTAACTTGCCAACCGCAACATCTTTTTATGAAGTCTCAAATACCGGATCGGTCAGTCTACTTTTTAAAGAATGTTTGGTAGGGTCTATGGGGTCTCTGTGACGGTTTCAAGCTTGACATTTTTTAGTATCCATTATAGTAGGAAAATACAAAATTAGATATTTATTCATACGACCTGTTTTTAACGGCATAATTTGACCTTGTATGTGTATGTGTGGGCTCGGATCTTTCGCCCATAATATGGTCACTTCGTTTTTCACAGGCACACTTTTCATCACACATCTTGAAGGTTTACATAATTGTCAACGACAGGGCCCTTTCCCACCAAGATCTTACCCGGATGGACAAAGTGGAAGATTGCCTGTACAAAGAACATCGGAATCGTGTCAAAAATGTACATGTAAACCTCATGTGAGTACACATATCCATCAGTTCCGCCAACATACTCGATGATGCGAAATACACATCGTCCAATGACCAATGCAGATACCAGAAACAGAATATGCAGAAGTCGACGCCATGGACCACCAATAATATGGAGATTAGCCTTCCCCAGTCGACGCTGGAAAACGACAGAGACGTAGAGGAAGAATCCGAAGAAAATCAGTTGAACAATCAATCCAACAACTAGGATCTTCTGTCCAAGGCTGCGCATACTATCGACAGTCTGCATACCACCACCACCTAGCTGTAGGAGGAAAGCGGTAGTGTCTCCCGATACGAATATTTTTGTCACCTTGCGAGGTGCCACGATGGATAGATGAGGCTGGCCCACGAAATTGACGATTCGGCCGTAAGTCATGTAGATTGTCGCGGCGTAAAGAGATGGTGGGAGAATGATGAACATGGATTGGCAGATATACGAGACAAGGCTATCCGGGCTTCGTGCAGAGATCAAACGGAAAATGTAGCCAAGCATCATCACTAGTAGCATATATTAGTAACTTCCTGTTCTAGGACATTTCTTGTGATTAGTCCTCACTGAAAGCACCGATAAGAAAAGCGGTAAAAAACCACGTTCTTGTCTTGATCATTTGCCAAAGATGAAAAAATGCGCTCGATCCGAACAACAACATTGCAATTGTAGCACCTGCCTTGGTAGGCTCGTAAGGATAGTAGGTTGAAGACCCCATTGTATGCAAAGATTTTCACCCTAGTAGCTTCAATGGACAACTTTTCAAATAAATCAAAGTAGTCATAAACAACCCTGAGGTCGATGATTCTGCAGCTTTGGAGGGGGGGGGAACAGAATAAAGAAAATAGAAAAGAATGAGCGGGGTGGTGAACGTCAAATTTTGACGCAGTGTTTTGGTAGAAATAAAGGACTGTAGAAAGTTCGGATCAGGAACTTCTTTGAATGAACTGTTTGCGGATCAGAGAGAGAGATATTTAGTCTACTACCTAGGTACATTGATCCAACAGGCAGCCATCGAGTGGACCTCAAACTAGACCAGGGGTTGTGTTGGTGATCCACCAGAATATTGTTTCATGTCACTATTCCTTTGATCGGAGACATTACTAATTATATACCGGCAAAGATAGCAGGCTGCTTATACGCGGAACGGAAAGGTTTCAATCGGTTCGCGTTAGCCAAATGCACCTAGTTCCAAGGTGGAAGAAAGTTTGTCCCCGATCAATATATTGCGGCGTAATTAACGCTCTCATCATCCTTGGCAAGGGATAAAAAAGAGTTCCAACAAAGTTATACTTTTACCGCTTTCTAAAAGCCCTAGATTTGCCATTTTGATGTGTTTTAAAATCGACTAAAGTATATTTAATCGCTGCCAGTAGAGGCCACAATAAACGGTTGATCCGGATATGTACCCTAGGCATACTTTTATATCTTGTACGGAATATGTTTGTTAGAGAAATTTTTAGCTAGATGGAGTTTCATAGTTTAATTCCGACTAATCGCGTTGACAGCAGTACTCGTATTCGTATCATATTTTCGATCCGTTTCCACTTGCCGTGGTACCCCGAAACCCACAGATAAAAAGAGCAGTGGGTTTAAAACGGCCAATTAGAATGGCCACTATACGCGTATACAAAATAGAATTCTTATGTTACTACGCCAAGTTGGTAACGTGTGGGCTCTCACATCCTTCAAACTTGAATATTAAGTTTTGCTTTTGCCTCAAGCTCGCATGAGTGGTTGGTCGCCGACGGTAAGGCCAGCCACACAGTTCAGTCCAATGTTTATTGTCGGAGTTGAGCGACGGCGTAAAGACTAGTACGGTCGGATATAATTCCAGGAGAGCTTTTCTAGGGAGAGACTGAAGCGTCAACCTGGAATAGGAAAAGTGGTAATCTTTGTCCTTTGCAGTTCAAAATTAATTACAATAAGTCGTCAAACCAGTCAAACCTTGACTAGATCCAATTTTCAACACTTTCAGCCCAGATCTATTTAAGGGTTCGGACCCAATATTTTCACAGTAGCAGTCCTTCCACGCAATCCTCATGGAAGATCAACCTCCGAGGTACTCCACGCTAGAGGCCGCTGGCTGGTCGGGTGATTCTTGGTTTCAAAATGGAGGCAATGTCAAAGGTATCAGTGACATACCTATCTCCCGCCACATTGTAACATATTGTAATATTGAATTTTGACATGGCTCACTGCATGATATCCTCCGGGACTATGATTCTCTATTGGCATATCACGGCCTCTTATCCCTCAACGAGGCCTGTCGCTTGATATTGCATCCTAGTATACCTTTCCACCATCCGGTATGTTCTACCTCCATTTGCTATCATTGATTCAAAGACGATATTTACATCTTTATGATCTACCTAGATATCTTTAGGAGGAGGGGGATTTCCAGGTCCTTTTAAGTCTGTGTTTCAATGATCTTCAGTTTGGCTCACGGTGGGGCCTTCCCAGCAGAAGACCTGGGCATGTATATAACTTGAAGTTCCAGTCTGCGGACCTTAATTAAAAGGTTTGAGCCCACTGGCAGATGTGTGAGTCTACTTTGGTTAAAATCCCTTGAAATTGACAGAGGCTCAGAGCCATAAAACTGCCAAGTGTATGTGAAGGACTAGATATCTAGGAGGGGAAGCAGTAACGGAAAGGCATATAATACTGAGGGTCTGAGATATTATAGCTGAAAGAGTAGTACTATGAGTCATTTTATCGCTCCAATGTTTCCATCAAGCAGGTCTCCGTGGCGCAATTGGCTAGCGCGTTCGACTGTTAATCGAGAGGTTGGAAGTTCGAGCCTTCCCGGGGACGCTTAATTTTTGTCATTTTTATTTTTGGCGGGGGTGCGTGCGGGTGCGGGTAGAGATGAGGGGATGATAGTGGAGTGTGCGTGGTGTTGTGGTAAGTGTGTGTGGTGGTGAGTGGAGTGGAGTGGGCCTTGTCTTTACAATCTAGAATGCTGCAGAGTACGCAGGCTGCGAGCCTATCTTGTAGTAGGTACTACTTACTGTCTTATCTTATTAGCCTCTCCATACTTAGGTTTACACGTTAAATGCACCTATCTCTTGATAGCCAGGCCAATGATAGCAGTAGTATTAAACGAAGGTATTAGGCTGAGAGAGAGAAGAAGAGAAGGAGAGAGGGAGAGAGGGAGAGAGGGAGAGAAGCTCCCATCACAACTATCTATATATAAGCAGCTGCCAGGGTCACATGCTTAAGGCATTTGCCCAGGCACCAAAGGCTCTGATTATTACATAGTCTCCCTCTTTAAAAGGTCTAAGCCCAAGGCCTTAGCTTCTTCATTAGTCTGGTGGTACAGGAGTATCATTATCGTTGTGATCTGCCTTAAATTTATAATTCTTCGTAGTGTCCAGCTATATTAAGAGCCTTATAGGAGGCCTAGACTTCTTAGGGTAGTGTAGATAGAAGAGAGTCATTTTCTCTGGAGTATTCTTAAAGCCACTTACGTAGTACTACGTGTTACGCGTTGCTAACTGGTCACGGTCAGTGGTTCAACAGTTAGTGAACTTACCTTATTCTCAAGGAGTAGAATTGTGAATTGCTGAAGGACGGCTGGAACTAGTGTTGTTCAGGCAACACCAGTAATCCTCAAGTATTGACTCGTAATTGTACTGTGGCTGTGCTAAGCCTTACACAGACTCAGATTCTGTTGAGTAACTTCGAAGGATATACTAGATAGAGCGCTAAGTAGGTTAGTCCGAAGAGCTCCCCTACTTGTAGTATATTTGTTACAGGGAGTGAGACTAAATAAAGAATAATCTAAAAGATATACTGTAGTAATTTAGATTGATTAATTACAAAGAACTAAATATATATGTGAAGAGAGTGTCCTATATATTTAGTGCTCCTTAGTATAGTATATTAGAAGGTATATCTAGTAGTATACTAGATTATACCCTTCTGGCTATCTATTAGTATATCTACTAGTATACTTTAAGGTTATATAGTACTTTTACTAGGTAATAGTCACCGTAGGCGGCATACTGAGATGCCTTACGCCTAAGGCTGACCCACACCCGCAGGTGTGGGTCAGCCGGACGTCAACGCAATTCGGTTCTCAACGCAACTTTTTGTTATTATTTTGATAACTACCACCACCAGCACCACCACCACAATGCCTAGTCAATACCAAGCAACCGAAGCACGTATTCAAACCGCTTGCTCAGCGGCTAGAGGTGTCAAAAACCCCAATATCGTAGTGTTGGTATGTGAATATAACGTCTTCGCGCACCGTCCCCGCACGTATTATAAAGACTGTGTATCTTGCACCACACACTATATAGCCTACAAATATCTAGATAATAAGTAAGAAGCTACATTGATAGACTGGATTAGACGTCTTAATAATCTATATATTCCGCCTATAGCTAGAATAGTAGTTATAAGTACTAACACATTATTACGTCAACAAAATTCTACTATAACTCCGTTTAGAAAAGACTAAATATACTATTTTATTAATAAATATCTCCCAAAAGACCTTAATTAGGTCTACTAAAAGCCTACAGACTAGGATTATATTACTACAAAAGAGATTAGGGGTTTAACTACTTAGTATAAGTATCTAGAACCTTTTTTAAAGAAGATCCTACTAAAGTATATCTATAATTTTGATAAAACTAGATTTTTACTTAGCTAGGATTGACTGTTAGATATTATCTTAAAGAATAGTTATCAAACTAAAACTTATTTATTTAAATACAGTCAGTTATTAACTAGAATTAAATATATTTTAGTTAATAGGTAGAAGATAGAGTTATATTTTATTGTACTAGGATTAGTTTATCTAATATAGTAGTATAAAAGTAGAATACTCTTAGAGGAGATAAGAATAACTATTTTAGAAACTAACTATTCTAATAATCTTCTTATAATTAATTAGCTTAAGTTTTTCTATTATAATACTAAGAATTATCTACTAAAAAAAAAAGATTTAGCTATAGCTTTTAATTATAGATAGGTATTATAGCTATCTTACCTATAAATTTCTTAAGCTATATAACTTCTTTAATATTATTCTATATTACTATCTATTTTATATAATATATCTTATTTAGCTACTTAATAGATCTCTATTCTATATATTAAAATAAGTCTATTAAACTAAAAATAATTAGATTACTTAATAGAGTAGAGATCCTTATAATATAGTAATTTTTTTTTCAGAAATTATACAAATTTAAGAGTAAACTTTATAATTATATACTATTTATAAATTATTTACTGATTATAATATTCTATCCTATAATCTAGGGCTAATTATTAATTATTTAGTAGCTATAACTATACTAAAGCTAGAATTATAAATATTTAATAGTTATAATAGTTTATTATTACTACTAATATAATCTAGTATTCTAAACAGCCCTCCTGATTAATTTAGTATACACTATATATATAATAAATTAAACTATATAGTAGAATTTAATAGTATTTCTAAAGAAATTAGCTACTAAATATATTGTATTAGGTAATTATAGGTATAGTCTATAAAGGATATTAGTTTATTAACTGATATATTAGAGAATTAATTACCTAAAAAACCTATAATTATATATAAATCCTAAAAGTAATTAGGTAAATTTAAAACCCTAACTACTAAAGATACTATCCACTATACCTACAATTAAAATATAAAGGATCAAAAAAGGAAGCTAATACACAGGTTTGCAAGATAATACCTTAGGTACCTCT